GAGCTGAAGCAGGCGATGTGGCCGAGGTCTGACCCCGTGAAACGGAGGACATGAAGAGCAACACGGTTCTCCGGTCCCTCCTGAGGTTAGGTTACATGTTGCCATAGAGGACAAATCAGCCGGAAAATTAAAAAACATCAAGGAAGGAAAATTACCTAAAGCCTTTAACAAAAATAAAGCACTTTTATAGAAGGGTGCTACATGAATATAGCTTAAGTGTGTCATAAATAATAGTTACTGCATGATAAACTTGAATTAGCAAATAAATGAAGCTATCTGCACACCAACAGCTGATGGAACAAACATCTCCTTTGTGTTATTTTGACTTCTTTTTGCACGTCAAGCGGTTCAGTTGCATGCGGCTCTAAACTTCCCACAGGTAAGACTCTGGACATCCAGTTTTTCAGACATGTAAGTTACAAACAAACAAAGTGAATGAAAATTTAAAATAAAACACTGAACATAACTGTGCTCCAGACCGCCCGTCTTACAACAACCTGCAACCGTTGAAGCGTGAATGTGACATATTGCCCCGTTTGTCTGAACGTATTCACACATGTGCTTTGACTGCGAGCTAGTGAGTTAGCTACCGAGATAAATACATGTCTATTAGCTATCTAGCTAGTAGCTTTTAGATACTATCTACTATATTAATAGATAATTAGACTGATTGGCAAGCCTATCCAACTAGCTAATAGCATGGTAGATGCCTTATTGGCTAGCTTATTAGTTAGTTATCCTATTAGCTAGCTAGCAGCTATTAGCTAGTAGCTATTAGTATAATAGCTATTTTAGTTAGTTATCTTATTAGCTAGCTAGCAGCTATTAGCTACGATTGGACTATTAGACAGATGGACACATGAATAAACTACTAGCAAGGTAGCGGACTTATTAGCTAGCTTATTAGGTTTAGCAAGCTAGCTAGTATAAGATACTATATGTCTATCTCGTTACAGTATCTTACTAGCTAGCTTTTTAGTTAGCCATTTTATAAGCTAACACGCTAGTAGCTACTAGCTTGCTAGGTGGCTAGCGATAGATAGATAATGATCGATCGATCGGGTAATGCCCAGGTCTTATTGAAGCATTGCGATTATTGTTACATTATAGGTTATTGCCATGTAGTTTTTTTTTTAATGGCCATTAGTTTGAAATGTACGTTTTGTAATGTTACTATTGTGTTAAAAATATAAAAGCTTCCATATTTACATAATTTCCTCCAACCAAAACATTGTATGACATATCTGTGATTTAGTTTTTTTGATTACCAGTAAGTACTTTTTGAGGTATAATCTAGTAACTAGTAGTAAGTATCTAGTAATTTTGATTGCGACATAACCATCTGTATTCAGTCAACACGATTTTTTTAAACACCAAAATGTACTTTAGAAATGTTAAGAATTATTTCACTTTAGACAAAATAATGATATTTAAAAACCGAATGTAAAGATTATATTTTAATCCTCATCTTTTTCAGCGGTCGTATTTTTTGTTGTCCATTTAAAACAACTGCTGACGTGTGTTAGAATAGATGTTAGGTTACAAATAAAAACACTGCTTAGAGGCGATCAAAATGATTTATTTTAACCTGTTTTTGTATTAAATGTTACATTTAATATGAGGTATTTGGTATTCAACCACTAAATAATTTTAAGCACTGCTCAATACTGCAACATTAAAGCACAAAGGCAGGAATGTGACGAAAATGGCCGAACAGCCATTATTGGCTCATTAGCATTAGCCATGCTAGTACAGATTCCTATACAGTAATGCAGAGTAAAACATTACTATCCTAACCATTAATTAAACTTTGAACCAATCCACAATCTGAACGTGTCCTCTAGCTTAAAAAATAGTAACATGTAGCTAAACCAACTTCAAAAACCTTACACATCAGATTACCGGCACTGTAACGTTAACACCACTTGTATAGCTTAACATGGGTAAACAGCTGAGAGCATCCAACAGTTAACGTTTCACAGGTTTCCAACAATCTTTTTGAAACACTTTATAAAGAATACTGCTGATGACAGAAACTCAGTGGGTATATAGCTTCTAATGGGAGTCACGGTTGTAGCAACTGTACCGTTTCTGCTGTTCTGGTAACGATAAACTCCAACCAGCACAACCATGGACTATATTTACCACCACCAACAGTGACTGTTTGCTAATCCCAATGGGAACTCTGAGTGCTTGTGACTACAGAAACATCTTTGGAACTGTGTAAGGAAACTAGCTCAGAATAACCAAAGATTTCTGAACCACACAGTAAGGTTAAAAAGTTTGTGAGCAACACCAAGCTTGTAGAATTTCATCCTTCCACGGGCAGAAAGGCTGCCAGGATGTTCTACAACAGTGGTCCTCAAACTTTTTAAACCACATACGTATCACCCCCAAAGGGTAGGATCTCTAGGTACCTCCCTTAGGACCACCTCAAACAGCTTTTGTTAAACTCGATGCCTCTTTAAAGTCACAGCTCAGACACATGAAAGGACTTCAAAAACGGCAACAGCAAAGCCGAAGGTTTTAAATCTATGAAAAATGACACTGGACAGTTTTTTAAGAAGTATATACCACTTGATATATGCATCTACCCAACTGTGAGCCTGCTTGTTGTGAATTTGTCCCCTGGATCGGTCTACAAGGATCTGTAGGAAACCTTTAAGGCAGACCATGTGCAGTCCAGAATTTGTTTTTTTGCACCACTGACTTGCACAACAATAAGCCTCTTAAACAAAATGTGGAGCTGGAGCACATAAAAAAAAAGAACATAACAACACGGACATTAAAAAGGTTCCAGAGGGTTTGCCGTTACAGAGACCACACACAAGCCTTAAGGATCCCTGTTCCACTGGACGGAGACCACTGCACAACCCCCGAGTGACCAAGAATCTCTGCAGTCTCCAACTCCCCCAGCCTTAAAACCTGTTTGTGCTGAAATGTTCTAGAGACCTACTGGTAAATTATTTTTTCTGAATTTTAATGGAATTGTACAAGATCCTTGGGTGATCTTAGAGATCGCTGAGCATTCTGAGAGACGAACAGTGACAGATCAAAACTTGATTCAGACCACGGAGAACATGGCGTTTACTGAAAGATCACTGAGAAATCTTTGGAGAACCTCAAAGATCATTGCCTGTTCACCAAAAGATTGCGGAAAAATTTGGCTAATTTTTTGGACACTCGATGGTCTTGCTCCTGTAGGACGAAGGCACAAGCCGTTAACCGAACTTGTAAATTGGGTGATGTCAGTACCACTAGAGAAAGCTTGCACACTACAGGTAATATGGGTACAGTGGTTTAAGAATCCCTGTTCTAGTACGTTCTACAGAAATTCAACGGTGCATTCACATTTGTTTGATTTTTTTTGTCTGGACCAAAAGAAAAATGTAGTTCTGGTTTGCTTGGCCCAAAATGCTGACATTTCAAAACTCAAACCAACAAACGTCCCACAAAAGACCCGACTACCGTCACAACCCGACTGAACAGCTTCGATACTCTTTGGAGAAAACTCACAACCTTACAAAGCAACGTTTGTTGGTTCCAGTAGCCTGCGACTGTAAAGCCTGGTTCCAGTAAACTAAAGGCGCCACGAGGTTTTCAGACAGAAACACTCACTACATCAAGCTGCTGCTTGTTTTGTTCGACTTTTATCAGATTTTGTTCCATTGATTGGTCAAAAATCAAAAACCTTGGCGATGGCAAGACCATTTGATTACGTAACAATTCTATAATTTACAGAAACTGTTTCCTGGATATTCTGATTCAGACCAACACCGACATTTGTTGTGTTAGTTCTTGTTGGGATTACTGTATTTAAAATCATTTGTAAATTCCTGTGTTTTACTTACAGGTATGTGTACTTCAGCGAGGCAGTGATCAATAACCGAGTAGGAAAACAGGATCTGATCATTAGCGTTGTAAATGAAAAGGTTCCTTATGGTATCTGTAAATCTGTCCAGAAAATAGACAACACCGCAAGCAGCTGCTCCAGATACACACTTCAAACTGCCAACGTATACAACCGTAATTTACTCCAGTGTGTACTCAGAGTGGTCCTTGCTATTCATTTTAGCTGATGGTTGTGGGGTACAAGTTTTCTTTCACTTCAAGCTTTTAAAACCCTCTTAAATATCAAATAAAATAAAAGGTTAAAAACAAGTGACTTCATCCTGGAAAGCAACTCATTCCAAGTAGAGCTTTATTCCAGACGTATACTTGTGAAAGCGTAATGTCCCTGGTGTCTAATCGCCATAAATGTGGCCACATCATGCATCCAGCCACGGAGCTGAAGTTTATGTAGTACTCCTTGAAAAGCAGAGTTCACAACGAGAAGAGCTAAAACAAGGACAAGATCGTCTCAACAACAGAGAGGTCTGACGGACCCTCTGCGACTCTGGAACACAAGACGATTGTCTCCATAGCGTATGGAGCCATGCTAAAAGGCAGTGCTAGCCAACGAAGGCAGATATATAGAGAGGAGGAGAGAAAGTAGGGCCACCAGTGACGGTTGGTGAAAAACGTACGTCTGAAGAAAAGCACAAGAAGGCAAGTCAAGGTAGAAAAGACAGAAACCTCAAGAGGAAGATGGGAAACAAGGCGTCAGCTGTGTGACGGCTTCATCAGAACGGAGCACGAGCTGAAACACACCGACAGACATGCACATACATTTACACCGTGCCTTTTTCAAGACTCCAAAGCCTCATGGGTGTCCGGTGCTGCCAGGCTGCGCACCAGGCTCTGAAAGATGACCGTCTCTTCGTCTTCTCGTTTCTCTCAGTCCTCCTTTACCGCATCTCTCTCTACAACCATCCTCTTCTCATCCTGTCTCTTTAAGGTCTCGTGTTGTCCAGCGCCTCTCCCTCTTTTTGTGAAAGCAGAATCACACAGAAGCACAGAAGAAGAAGTAGAAAGAGGGCGTGGTTTGTCATTTCTGCAGATACAGGCTGTTTTCCGGGTGTTTCGGTCGAGACGGGAAAGAATCGGGCCGCTGATGGACACTAATGCGGGAGCGGCACCAAGATATCCACGTAGTTGATGGGAAAGAAGCCCGACTGGCCGTTGATCATGCCCTCGTACCAGTTTTCGTCAATCTGATTGGTCAGGGTGATGACGTCACCCTCTTTGAAGCCAAGCTCGCCTTCGTTCTCCGGCTCAAAGTCGTAGAGCGCTCGACAGCATGGCTGGTCCATCGGTGCTGCGAGCAAACAGACAAAAAGGAAAGCGAGTCTTTCTGTCACACACACTGGTTTGTCCCACCCTGACCACCCATCAGGGGTGAACCTTTCCATTTACCTGGTGATCTTCCGGGGGATTTGGCTGAGTGGATCCCCCCATTGTGGCTCTCGTTGGGGGGCAGAAGCTCCAGGGTCATTCTGGGTTTGGGGGTGTACTCCTTCCTGGGTTTACTGGACACTTCTTTTATCCTGAAGGAAAAGATGAATATGCAGAACGTTCAGTGGAACCACGCAGGTTTATTTTTTCAGCCTTATTTCTGTCCTGAGGTGGGAGGACGGATCGATACCTGTCCTCCATCTTGCTGGAGAGCTGTTGGAGGATTTCAGAGGAACGGCTGTGGTACTCCAACTGGGCCTGGACCAGTGCTGCCAGCTGGCTCACCTGTTCTATCTGCAACACAAACACGTTTTTAATTTGTTTCCCAGCACTAAGCCGAGCTTAGAGTCCATGCTGGGCCAGAGTCTGGACCAGTACCACATCCCACAGACCTGCTGGTCTTTTGTTTGTCCACTGCTGCTTCTAAAGAGCTAAAAATGTGTAACCATGACAACAGGACAGGCATTTTAAATGTGAAAATCATATAAATATTAACCGTATGTCCTTTCTAAGGACAGTGATTAATTATGAATTTATTTCTTGTTTTAGTGTAAAAAATGTTCAGTAGTTTTGATTCTTCAGAAATTAATTTAAAAACTATTTAACTTAAAATACATTAAAATCTCTTCAATTCCTTCGAAACATTTCTCTGACATCTGCTTCAGCAGCTGGTTCTGGGTTTGTGTTCTCGTGATACTTTCAGTCTTTAGTAAGCCTTTAGACGCTTTAGCTACATTTAGCTAGCCTTGTTATTTTTAGATTTCAGCTTTTTATTACTTTTAGCTAGCAATTTGTTACATTAGCTATTAGACAGATTTTTGCTACTTTTAGATTTTAGTAAGCCCTTTGGTCATTTTAGCTTGCACTTGCTGTTTTAGCTTTTAGCCTTTTTAACTTTTAGCTTTGGGCTAACCTTTTGTTATGTTTAGATTTTAGCTCTGTTCTTTACTTTTAGATAGCAATGTGCTACATTAGCCTTTAGCTAACCTTTTGCTACTCTTCGATTTTAATTAGCCTTTTGGTAGTTTTAGCTAGCACTATGCCACTACAGCTTTTAGACTTCTGAGATTACATTTTAGCTAGCCTTTTGCTACATTTACCTTTAAGCTAGCCTTTTGCTACAT